GACCTGGATCTAGACCTGGGCGGTCGTGATTTTTCGGAAGCTTGGTAACCATGTGCATCGAGCAAGCAGCATCACCCTGCTCCTCCTAGAGCCCTGGAAAGTTTTCAGTGGAAACCCTCATGCTGGGCGTGCTGTGGTCAGAAACAGCAGTGACGTCAGCACGAAGGCCTTTCCTTTTACACGCGCTTGCAAAATTATGGAGCCCTTCGATTCTGTTGCGAGGACACCGTGAACTCCGCAAGCGTCAAGCGCAACAGTGTTACCAACCGTGTTACCCATATCCCTCTGTGAGGGCCCGTCAGATCAAGATCTGATCCTGTCTTCACTTCCTTTCACTTCGGGTGGAACTGAAATGAGTTAATGATTCAATATGGCAGATGTGAGGCAGGTGTACAGATTTCTTCTGCGCACCGTGCGTGATCGCATTAGTTCGAGGAAGGAGAACCCCATTTGGCATGACTACATAGTCGAGGAATTCCATCGTAATGCCAAGGGGACAGATCCGCTTAAAGTGCAGAAATTACTTCAATTAGCCAACGACTACGCTCAGCTTGTGCAGGATGTGCACTATGAAAAGGTACGTGCGTGTGCAAAGCAAGCTTACTCCCTGGACTTACTGAAGCTCATTCTGGACCAGGATCTCTCATCAATCATACAATCCCTTGAAGCGTTGTGATGCTGTTTTGTCGACCTTTCTTGTATCCCAGATTGTCCTGAGAACTGTGCTTTCTGCTCAGGAGCTTTTGCTGTCGTACAACATTGGCATAGACCCAGCAGAGAGGCAGAAGTCAATGATAGAGCGCACTGCGAATCTTGTCGGGCTCCAATTGCCCAATACAGATGCAGCTAACAGAAGGGACAGCTGAAGAGTTCAACTAAACGACGCTGTCTTGATACAAGTAGCATATTGATGAAGGCGGCATGTATGGATAGCAGAGGATGCTAGCAGCGCTGTGTGAGACCTCTGTGAGTTGGTCCTGGGGAATTGTAACAATAAGTGTCAAGACTTTTGCTCTGGACTCTGACTTCCGCTCTTTTGCTTTGCGTCTGCTCTTTGGATTGTCTTCGAATTCAATCTCGATTGATCTTCGATTGAATCTCTCTGAGTTTACACAAATTTGTGAAGGCAGCCAGCACGCATGCATGCCCTCATTGCAACATAGATGTGGCAGAAATGTGCGACACCTGGAATATGGGCATGAGATCAAGAGATGAAGGACAGACATCAAGTGTGTGCGAGCGCCAGACAGAGGAAAGGCTGCCTCAGCACAACAAACATGCATGTACAGAGACACCCAAGACCAGAGACATTAACTCACGATTCACTTCACATCAAGGACGTCATATCAGAGAACTCTCACTTCATGCCACTAGTACTAACATGTGCAACCAGCTCTGTTTCTCCCAACGCTTCACGGCATCAGAACGTCTCAGTTGCTGGCCGCAGATCAATCTCATGCGTCCAGGCCGATCTGTGCTGGGAGTGCAGGTGCCAATAGGCGTCTGCGATGCCGTCCGGACTCAGGAAGGTATTGGGATCGCGGTTGGGCATCATTGAGCGGAGTCTGGGCGCATCGATGACCCCGTCTATGATGGCGTGCGCGACGTGGACGCCCTGCACCCACACGCTTGTCAGCTTGCATGCCTGCACCTGTCTCACGCTACTGCGCATCCGGTCATGACCCCAAGTTGACCAGATGTCACAGAGTGCAAAGGATGCTGTCGCTCACAGAGCTCTTTGTGGTGCCACGCAACAAGATCAGGACACCAGCATTGATGTCTGTACGCACAAAATTGTGAAGCACTTGGATCAACCTGATGAGGTGAAGAGATCTTGACAGGCGCGATGAGCAAAGGTCTTGAGCAGGTGCAACTCTGACAAGCTGCTAAGGAAGAAGAAAACACATCTGACTTACAGTCCGGCTAAATTGGCCAACCAGTTCCATGAAAAAACCATGCCATGCCCAGAAGCCCCATCTGAGGAAAGATAATCAGGCCAATGCGAGACCACTTTTTGGAAGTCAAGAGGGCGTGCCTGTGGCTGGAACTCCCTGGCCAGGCTCTGGGCGAGGGCACGAAGGGCGAATTTTGGGCAGGCCAGCATCGCAAACTTGGCAGAGCCCCTGACAGAGGCGGTGGCTCCCGTGAAAATGATGGTTCCCCGGCCGGCCTTCACCATTGCTGGCAGCACCTGCACGCACATGTCCGCACATGTCACGCATGCTTCACTAGGGGCAATTAAATACTAGTATTAATTAGTTAGTATTTAATTACCCCTATGCTTCACCTGCCGATGGATGGGAACTGCAGCTGCCAGCTTATATGCGACAATGTGTCTCTAGTAAAAAGAGCCCATGAACCCCGGCGGAACTTCACATCCTGGTAAGTCATCACTGCAGGTTTAGCCATTTAGCCGTGTCCCATATTGCCACTGACGCAGCGAGGTGGATGAGGAACACCACGACTGCTGCGTCAAAGGACATCACTGCTGGGCAGAACTTCTTTGTATCCTTGCACAGGGCAGTCCATGAGCACCTGCTGCGCCCAGACAAGGGCGCCAGTGACGCCGGAGTCAAAGCCGCGGCTGAATGCCTCGGGGTTGATGTCAAGCGCGGCGGGTGGCGGCCATGTGAATCCACCCGGACCCGCGTTGTACACCAGCACCTCCGGAGCGCCCAGCGCTTCGCACACCCTTGCATACGCTGCCACAACTTCCTCCGGCTTCCCTGCATGCATGCAGTCCCATGTCATGCCAGATGGAGTTACCAGCTGCTAATGGTACCCACCTGCATGTGATACTGTGTTTGTACGCCCAGGACAATTTGCAGTGACGTAGCATGCATGGATGCTGCAATACTTAATAAAGGTGCTGAGCACTGTAATCAGATTTAGCGGCGCCATTCAGATATCTGAGATTTCAAATTTCACAGACAAAATGGAGTTGGCCGTGCAACAATAGTCTTGCAGTTGCACCTGATGCATGTCTCGGGGAACTCATACCTCATTGGCATTGCACCATTGAGCCTGCATGCAGGACCTGAAGTGGATCTAGGAAGGCAACAAGTTGAAAAGTATCATGGCAAGAAGTCACCAGGAATTGGACCCTGGATGGATTTTTGCAGATGCCTGCCTACCTGCATCGCAGGGCACTGCCAGAGTCTCAGCACCGCTGGCCCTGAGCTCCTTCTCTACGGGTGCGATGGATTCCTGGCGCCTGGATATCAGCGCAATCTTGTATCCCTCACGAGCAAAGCGCCTGGCAATCCCAGCACCAGCGCCTGCAAACCATGGCGTTCTGTTCGTGACTCCGTCTAGGCACCCAGCCATACTGCCTGGGCGAAAATGAGTTCTGATGACCTGTTATAGACAAGAATGTCGGGAATCGAGGTTGGATTTCTCTAAGGCAGATCAGTGAGTCAGTGGCATGCGCAGTGCAAAGAGGTACAAGAAACTCTCCGAGGATGATCACCAAGGGAAGATCACCTCGATCAAGATTATGACAGGAATAATGATGTACTGGTGGTCAAGTAAGGTGACTTTGCCCAAATCGAGGTATTACGTGAAGCGGCATGCAAAGCGTGTGGAAGCGCACCAGGGCCAATACCCACTACCACAGCTGTCTTGGCCAATGCCATGTCTAAGAACGACAATCGCAGCCACTGAGCGGGAGGATTGTTGCAGCAAGCCCAGAACTTTTCGTCCAAAATAACCTTGGATTAAATGAAGCAATCCTCTAGGGCTAGGAGTAGGGTTCTGCGAAGCGGGATTTGATGACTGACGGATGACTGAGCGGAACTCCTGAAGTGGCTCTGCCATGGAGAAAGTTGCCTTTCAATCAGCGTTAAAATCGGGTCAGCGATAGACTCATCCACAATGTGCGGCATTAGAGTATGTCGACTGTTGTAGCAGACTTTCTGAATGCCCAGGTCACCAAAAGCTTGCTGGACGATGGACCCTTGTCAGTCCGCCCGACGGGTCTTCAAGCTCTGTCTTGATCGAGACTGCACGTTGTAGCCAACGCATCCACTTGGACTGAATCTGCAGATTCTGTCGTTGATCGACATGTCGAGGTAGGCTTACCGTTAAGCGTTGTCCAGGTCCGCATGACCCTCAATATTTGGGGCGGCAGTTTAATGGAATAGGCAAGTTCCTGGCAAAGAAAAACCAGGGACCCCTATTTGTAAGATCCTGAAGAAGCTTATATTCCGCCAAATAGCATCGAGAGTTCTGGCGGGCCCAGCTTGCCTTTTCAGCAACTCCTGGGCCTTGTTGCTAGAGGCTCTGAGAACAGCATTGATCTTGTGAGAGCGTGGGTCATTCCAATGCGCCTTAACTTCCATTTCTGCTTCTTGGCTGGAAGTCGTTTTCAGTGCTGCAGCTGCAGCTGGTGTCTTCATCATCAGCGAGCATCCATCTATCAAGTGAACCCAGTTGCGTGCAATAGCGTGCAAATCACATTCCTTTTTCGTGCATGGTGTCACTGTGCCGTCCCTGCACCCCATCCTGGTGACATGCTGCTGACAGACAGTGTTGTGTTCACGGTACACCTCTTAGTGGTCTTGCACGGGTTTCGGTGTGCTAGAACATGGAGCTTCCTTGGGATTTTGCATCAATCCGCTATTGACTGGACTGCGGGGCATGCAGCTGCGCTGCGTGCTGATCTGCAGGCCAGCATGCAGCTCTGGCGCCCCAATCAAAATCACTCAGTGCTTACTCGTGTGCTGATGTGGCGTTTCTGTGGCACTGTTCGCAGCGAGGAGGTGCTGCAGCCGAGCCGCAATGTGCTGCACTGGGTGCGCCAGCGCGAGCTGACGCTCAACCGACCCCGCGGTGGCCGAGCGCATGTGCGCACTCATTCCTCCCTGGACATGCCGCATCTCTTTCAATGTAATTTTGGGCGCTTGGGGTCTCAGGGGTTCCTTGGCCACCCCATCAGCTTGGGAATGGGCCCGTTCAGCAATATGCCAAACCCCTCTGTGAGGGATGCCTGTTCTATCATTTACCTGGAGGAGGAGTTGAACCACCGACGGAAGGAATTTAAGTCCGTTGCTCTAACCAGCTGAGCTAGCCGGCCACTTGCACTGTGGAGAGCCTGTTGTGGGCAGGAGGTCGCAGTGTTAGGGACTTTGTGAACCCGGGACATGCCACAGTGGCCAGTCAAAGCCTTGCGCACTATTGTCTTCCACAGTGTGTCTCATGGCATGCACCTTGTCGGTGGTCACATCATACTGCATGGCATCTCCCAGCAAAAGTGAGTGAGTGCGTGTAGCGATTACCTGGCAACCCTGAGATCGGATCTGTCCGGGACCGGCTGCACAGACTTCATGAGGCTGGACTTGGACCGGAGGTTATTCACCAGCAGCTGTCAGATGTGGCGCGTTTGAGAAGCTGCACACATGAGGTGAAGCTGCATGCATGTGACATCAGTGCCTGATAGGTGGCAATGACTATGGACTCAGGGAGCGCCATTGGCCTCTGGTCGAGATGTTCCGGTGCTGCCCGTGGATACGGACCCTGGGCAGCGGCTGGGCAGCTTCGTGGAGTGCGACTTCCTGCGGCGCTGCGCGGCGACATACTGCGAGCTCACGCCACCTCCGCGCTCCACCATCGCTGCGGCCTTCAGCCCCGATGGCTCCATGCTCGCCTCCACCCAGTGCGCACCTCTATCTTGAAGGCATCACAGTGATCCAGGAAAACACTGAAAGGTTGTGGTGTGGCCGGTTCCTTATAAGATTCCTTCTTCATGAGAGAGAGAGAGAGACGCGTGAGGAGCTCTTGAGATTTGTGTTGAACCAAGAACATGATGTGTGATGCAGGGGCACTCGTCAAACTGAAGGAAGGGCAAACATGATTGCTGTTGGTCGTTGCTGTGATTTGGTACAGCTTCTTAGCTGAGTCAGCAGCTCTGCAGTCACTTGGGCCCCGGCTTTTCTGTAGGGAGACGCACTTGCCCACCCCTTGGTTATCTTTTACAATCACCTTCTGCTGCTGGCATGGCATGAGGACTGTTCTGGGCTCAGGTGCTGTGGATGAACACTGTCTTGCACACGATGTGGCCCTAACACAGCGGCTGTGCCAGCATATGGCTGTTCTCTAAATGATGCACTCTGCATGCACCGGCGATCACATGGTGAAGCTGATATGCCAGGGGATGGGTGTTTTGAGCGGTGCGTTGTGAATGCAGCGGCGATCACACGGTGAAGCTGATATGCTGCCGCACGGGGCGGTGCCTGAAGGTACTTCTGGGGCACCGGCGCACTCCCTGGGTCGTATGCTTCCACCCGACCTCCCCCCGCATCCTCGCCTCTGGCTCCCTCGACTATGAGGTGCGCTGGTGAATCAACCCAGGGACTGCAGAACATTTTTCAGGCATCTCTTAAAAGAGAGGCTGATTTGAGTCTTCTCTCTGAGCGATTCCAGGGAAGGCCAGCTCTTTCCCCATGAATTGGGCTTCCAGATGCTGTGGTATCCCCCCTGGGAAGGGTGAAAGCCAGGTGCATCTCATTGCTTGCATGCATCATCCATATTTTTGGAGCAGACCAGACTAGAAGATGCGCTGCTGAATTAACCCAGGGACTGCAGAACATTTGAATATCGAGCTACCAAATACTGTGGTATCCCTCCTGTGAAGGGCTCAAGGCCAGGTGCATCTCATTGGCTGCATGCATCATCCAGAAATTTAGAGCAGAGCAGGGTGTCAGTGTTATATGGACCTGGAGAGCCACAAAGCACAATTTGGCTTCAGGAGCCTGGAAGTGCGAACTTGACACAACTTGAATGTGACGAGTGGGAAGTGTGCTTGTGGGCGGTGACAGTGTACCTGCATTGAATATTCGAGTGGCATGTGGCCAGGTGCGGGTGTGGGATGCTGAGGCTGGAGACTGCTCGATGGTCTGGAGTTTTGGTCGCCCCATCGCCAGCCTGTCATTCCATGCTGGCGGCGACTACCTGGCAGTTGCCTCTGGCCACAAGGTCCGCCCCATTGCAACTCTCAAACCTCTGCACTCGGCCATGTCATAATAGTCTCAACAGCAGCTGATGTGCTCAGGGCCAACAGCCCCTGTGTCCATGGAGTGGTGACTAATCGAGGGCATTTCCTTTTGTGCCCCCTGACTCCATGGTTTTGCCTTCAAGATCTGGTGTTGCATTTCTGATGGGAAGAGGCAAAACTGGGCTCTCTCGCCTGTTCAAGAGCCAGCGCTTACTGCAAGTCGGAATGTGTGTGGCAGCTGTACATGTGGGAATACAACAAGCCTGGCGCCGTGCCGGTGGTGATCCTCAAGACGCGGCGTTCCCTCCGCGCTGTCCACTTCCGTCCACATGGCGCCCCATACCTGCTCACCGCTGAGGTCATCCCCCTGCCCATGTACCATGATAGCACCTCTGTGATGGTTTCTGCCGTGCATACAATCTGGGCCACATTGTCATGCACTTCCTCACCGGAGATCTTGTAGCTGCCTGCCCAGGCCATGTAGGTGTTGAACCTCAACAGATGAGATTCTACCTACTGTCTTGACGTTGTTGAGCCACAGGCTTGGGATCCTGGCACACGTTGCATTCAGATGGTGATTATTGTACGTGAATCAGATGCGCGCTGCCCCAATGTCTGCGCAAACTAAATCCTACGCAATGTGTGGCACTCTGCAGGTCAGTGACCCGAGCCCAAACACAGAGCTGCCGCTGCCGTTTGACCACAGCATGAAGGGGCCTCCGGCAGTGCCTCGGGCGGCGGCTGCATCGGCCGAGCGCCCCAGCGAGGCCATCTCGCAGCTCCTCGGCGAGGCCGCGGCCCCCGCCGCAACCGCGCCGCCCTCAAACCTGACACCCTCCCTCGCTCAGGCTCAGTCCTACTCTGCTGCACAGCAGGTGCGCCTGCATGTGTGTTTATTTCCCTGTGAGGTAACATAGCTGATGGAGCATATAGATCTGCTCCTTATTGGCCTCTATCACAGCGATAGTGTGCCCTGTATTTGGCAATTGGTGGTTTGCCAGGTTTTGGCGGTGTGATGGCCGTTTCCAACACCCCACTTGAACTGCTTGAGCACGGATAATCGTTGTGTGTAGATTGGTTGAGGCTTCACTGCATGACATCTGTGAAGTGGCACCACTGGCAGTGCGACAGGTTGTACTGGCGGGTACTTTGCCGTCTTGATTTCCGTGTGCGCCGCAGATTCTGGGCCTGACACAGCGGGCGGCGCAGCAATCAGGCGCAGTGGCGCAGCCGCCTCGACAGCGGGGGGCCCCTGCGGCGCTGGCGGAGGGCCTCCCCCCAGCGGTGGGACCCCCCTCCCCACCAAACCTCAATCAGCCGCCTCGGCCGCCGCCGCGGCCGGCCAGCCCGGGCGCGCAGCCGTACGTGGACCCCAACTCCCCGCCGAACCTGTATATGCTCCGCGCCACGGTTCGGGGCCAGCCTTACTCGCACCCGAGCTCGCCGCCGAATCTAAATCTGCTGCGAGCGGCCGGTTCGAGACAGCCCAACAACGGGCAGCCGCCGATCAACGCCTTTGCCGGCTGGTGGCCCTGGCAAACGACAGATGCGCGCGGTGCAGAGCAGGTGCGCCACTTGTTGTGTGTCATTGCTCCTCGAGAATGGGACACTTGCAAAGCCTCTCAGGAGGCTGCCACTCCTGCAGCATCTTTCACGTGTGTTCGTCTCGACACCGGCATATGTGAAGGTTACCCACTGCATACAAGGTTTTCCCTGATGGTGAACCAAAAGTGCCGTTTCATCGCTCGAGTGCAGTGGGGTCCAATTAAAGAGGAGTTCATCCATGGCATCAGCCCTGCACCTGTGCAGCGCCGTGAGACATCTTGTGTCTGACAGAGTCATGACTGGTCCTTTCTCCGGCATGCAGGCAGGCGCACTGCCAGGGCATACAGGGGTGAGCACACTGGATCTGCGCAGCCGCGCTGCGCGGCCGGCCGAGGTGGCGCGCGCCAGCCGCTCCCGAAGCGGCGCGGCCGGCGGCTATCGCCGCTTCCGTGACAGCCGGCCGCCCATGCCGGCACCACCAGGGAGCTTCCCCCCCTCGCCCCCACGAGTCAGGGTGTGCACACCTAACTCTTACCTTGGCCCGGCGTAGTAAAATCAGCATGATCAGTTGTAATGTAAATACAACAGGCTGTGCTGATAGAGGCTGCATCATGTGACTTTAACGGCTTTAGTGCATCATGGTGCTGTCAATGGGGGGTGTTTCAAAAGAGCTACTGAGATTTAAAGTCCCTGCTTGTCATCACAGAACATGACTCTGTGCTAGATGAAGGGCGAAAGCCATGACATGTGCCAGGTATCGTGGTGCTGCATTGACCTGTCAAACAGCCCTGTGTTGCTTTGACCGTGGTGCTTCTGTGTTTGTGTCCTGCAGTTCACCGAGCAGCCCTGTTAATTCCAATACGTTGTGAATGCAGGCTGGGCGCAGCATAACGCCCGACGCGCTGGACCGCGCGGCCGAGGGCGCGACCGAGCAGGAGCCGGGAGGCGGTCAGCAGCGCGCATGGTCGGTGCCGGCCGCGTGCGCGCTCGAGCGCGAGGCGCTGCGGAGGCGGCAGGCCGGCCCGGCAGCGGCGCAGCCGCCGCCGCCCGCCGCCGTGTCAACAGCGGCCGACCAGCTTTTCCGCGCGCCCGCATCGGCCGACGGCCGGCCGGTCACCCCGGACGCCCGGCCGGTGACCCCCGATGCGCCTCCGGGTTGGCGGTGGTGGGAAGGTGCGCCCGGCTGCACGAAGGAATACCGTAGTAATCACGATAAACCGCGCAATAAATAATTGCTTTTGAGCTTGCGCGGGTTTCTTTCAAAACTTTTTTCGCCTGCGCGGAGCGTCTATTAATTTGTTTTCTGAAAATTTTGCGGTAAAAAAAGAGATCGGCAGCTGCGCAGACACCCTGCGCGAATCCGTTTAATAATCCGCAAAAAAAACCTGCTGCGGGGTTTATGTGATTACTACGGTAGTTAATGGTGTTGCATCTCTTGCATTGTGGCTGCTCTCATCTGATAGTTTCCTGAGACAAGCTAGTTGCATGACCCTACCACTTATGTGCGAGATGCCCAGGCATGTCCTTCACACGCCTGG